GCTTCGCCCATGCTACAGTAATTTTCTGTTTTGATTTTTAATATTTCACGAATCTGTACAAACCGTGGGCATTGTTTCTCTAACGCTGAGTGTTGATCATTGCAATTTATGCAGAAACTACGGGTACAGCTTTCAGTATGTGGAGGATGACCACAGTTAGCACAAGATGCAGCATTAGTGCATCTTTTTGCCGTATGACCCAGGCGTTGGCAATTTTTACACCTCATAGGATTTGGGATGTATAGTTCTATTTTACATTTATACCACGCCACATCAACTGTTCGCGGTAATCGATAGCGATCAAAAGTTAAAATAATCCTTCCTGTCGGAGAGCGTGTTTTTCCGTCATCATTCAGTTTGGTTAATTTGTATACTTCAGTCACTCCTTGATTGCCCATTTCGCGGACAATTTCATCTTCCGGCACATGCTTTAAGCAAGGGGCATAAATTACGCCTCGAACCGAGTTAAGTTTCTCATGTAGTTTAGCTGAAATAGCACATAGATTAGCTAAAGATTTGGCCTTTATGAGTTTTTCGGTTGCGCGCGGGTTCCCAGCGAGGACCAGTAAATTCCCATCGCGTAGAATCGAGATGGAGTCGATGTATGTTGTAATGCTATCTAGAGCTTTTTTTATAGCAAAAGGGTTAATTTGGGAAATTGTTATTCGAGCATCGGTTGAAGAAATAACAATATATTTTTTATCAATAGGGGTTATATCGCTGATCGGCAACACCGGAAAATCTGAATTTTTACTTTTTTTTCTTTGGGAGATGTATCACTTAATAGGTAAAATCTATCCGAGTTTTTGTCTGGCGGCCCCGGGGCCATTATGCCTTATTGTTGTCTATTGCTTATTATTTGTGAAATAACCACTCACTTGAAAAGTTTTGGGAACTGCGGAAGAAGGTTGGGAACTACTAAAGAAAAGTATCAAATGTTTTCAATTTTTTTTTATTTTGTTTTTTTGTTTTCTATTTTTTATTATATATAGACGAAACAAAAGCACATACGCGATATCCGCGTTAACCAGTTTTAGCAATAACACTGAAAAGACAGAAGTTAAATACACAAAAACACCGAAAACACCGAAACAATTGAAAAAACGCAGACGAAAAGAAAACACGCACTACACTGAACACAAGTCGACTCGATAATGAAAAAAAATGATGTTAAAATTTGGTAATACGGATGATGAAGATGCTACATATAGTTGATAAATTAATCGCCTCGAAAGCAATCGATTTATTCGAGAGTCTCTTGTTCCGTAACCATTAGAGGTGATTTACCACTTATATCTCTTGTAGGTATTATTATTACAGAAACTGTTAAGATTCCTTTTCAAATCACTGGCAACCATTTTTTTAATCTCTTGCCTTTAATATTTTTATACAATACCCTTTATAAATTTTTTTTCTTTCTTCTCTATTGTCACAAGTACGCATTTATGCTTTACGCTGAATTTTGGATAAGCGCGGAATTTAATGTTAGTTACAGTCCGTTATGCTTTACATTTACAGCATACTTCTTTTTTTTTTTCAATACCTTAAGTTTCTTGCGGCAAAGAAGCGTTCTTACATGAAATTCCAATATTTTTATTAAAAATATTTGAATGTATCGCTTAACTTTTCAGATATTTTAGACTTGCCGTATAGGTTCACATTTGTCAACATTTCTTTTTATACGATGAATGTTTCCTAACTATTGTTCTTATAGACATTTAATTCCAATTTATTAAAAAGGGTAAAAATTTTCTTTTTTATATAGATAACTGAAAAGTACATATGTATAAATATTCAACCGAATGCAATTTTGTCTGCATTTCACAACTATATCAACTTCGCATTTATATCTTCGTTATTTATATATAACAGTATTTTATTTTATTTTTACTTATATAAAATTTCCTGTTCACCTAAGAATTTAAGAAAATGTCCGAACACGTTTTTCTTTTTTCCGCCATCACTCTGTCTCTTCCCCTACGCCGCCAAAAAACCAATCAAAAAGAGCTTCCCAACGTCAATCATTTTTAAAAGAGTGAGATCAACAATTCCACTACTACAGGATAGTATCTGCGATAACTATTACAAGATACAACCAAATGTTATAAGGACTATGAAGAATGCAGGATAGTATCTGCAATAACTATTACAAGATACAACCAAATGTTATATGGACTATGAAGAATGTGTAGATAATTTTTGTCCTCTTCAAAACCTATTGGCTACGTATTACAATTCTTTGCCAAATTTTATATACCCTTGTGATGATTATACTTAATACGCGGCAGTTGTATGCAGCGAGCAAGAAAGAAACTTTAATCATATTGTTGATACGATATTGTTGTACGATAACAACGTTTTTCACTGAAGTGAACATAGCCCACCAAGGTGATAACATTTTTTCAACGTCGGTGTCCTCGCTAAAAATGTCTTTGTTAAGTTACGATTTATGACGAAATACAAAGCAAACATGTAAAATAAGTAGTAATATTAAACAATATCAGAGAGCAAGCACATAAAAACCAAACTAAGCCTCCAATTACGTTCGCAAAACCAAAAAAAGCCAAGTTATCACTACTAAATCTCGTGCAAGACTTGGAGAATGCAATGTTCAAATGCTAATGAATGTTGCTAATGAAATTTTCGATCTTATGTACATAATGTTCATAAGCATTTGTTGCTTATGAAATTTTCCATTTTATATACATAATGTTTTTGTCTTTATTCAGCATGTATGTTTAAGATTAGACATTATGGGCATACGTTGACAATAGCAAACTGTGTTGAAGAAAAAGCTGTACGCGGGTGCGCTAGCACGTTTGTCCATGCAATTGCTTAAGAAGTTATATGCATGTTATTAAGTTTTCGCCATTTTTCTAAATATGAATCAACGCCCGCGTACAATTTTATTCAAAAGATTCTATAGTCATGTAGAAAGGCGAAAATAAATTGAATATTAATTATTATTCTTGTAACTTTTATAGAAACTCTTGGAAAATTTAACAAAAATTATACCTATTTTAGAAAATATTACTTGGCCAAGATAATTGATATTTGTAATAAAATAGTTAAGTCAGGAAAAGAAGACGATCTTTGGTGGTATTATGGAGAAACGTCACTTAGAAATTAAAGATATTAAGTATCAAAAAACAATTTTGCTCATATAAGAGTTTATTACTGTAGGAATTCCTAAAAACATAAAATTTGTTTAGGATACGAGATATTTGTGACAAAAAGCTAGAGTCGGATCAGCCATTACAATGGTACTTTACAAGCAGAGGTGTTCTCAATCACACCTTTCTTAAAACTTCTCAAATTAGAGGATATACACACACATTTTTCCACGAAGAGATAAAAAATATTCTTCCATAGCAAGCTCAGAGTTGGCCTCCTTTCACAAGCATTTTTACGGATTCAGCAGGGCCTTTATCAATGGACCAATGCTTCACTGGGACAAGTGCAATATAATTTCTTGTTTAGATTTTTGTTATAAAAAGCTGAAAAGGAATGAAAATACAGAGACAGAGAAAATAGTTTTTAAATTATGTTATGTCCACTTTACAAAAAATGTATATAGCCGCATTCAAAAATAGAAACCGCAAGTAAGAAAGATATTCACCGGTATTTTAAGTTTGGCTGCTTTGTCACTTCATACGATAGGTTCATTTTTTGATTAAAGCATTTTGCAAAAGTTTTATATGCAAAAGCAAGTTCCAATCTTTTCAAAATTTCTCCTCCGCATTTAGATGAGATGTGCAAAAAAACTACAGCTTTAGAAATATTTATAAAAGGAGAAAAGACACGGATGACACAATTACATTTTCGACGTCGCAGGATAGCTCACAGGGCTTTGATCGTCATTTGCGGGCGAGGATAAGAAGACTCTTTCAACATACAAAGATTCATTATTTCATACTGGCGTGAAGTTATCCCACTGTACATAGACCACATTTTTGTCTTTGTTAAAAGGTGGGCTATCTTCACAGTTAGTTCGCACCTCTGCTAAGGTAACTGATAGGTAAACGCAACCGAAAAACTAACAAAATGATTAGAAAAACTAAACAAGAAGAGAAATTCAAGCATAAATAAAACAGGGAATCATTTTGTTAGTTTTTCAGTAGCGTGTCATTATCAATTCTCTTAGCAGAGGCTCGAACCAAGCGTGACATGCAAACACAAAAATGTGGGCTATGCACAGTGGGCTAACTTCACGCCAATCGTTATTCAATATTATTTGAGTCTGATGACATGAAATTCGGATAAAACAGAATTTTTCCCGATCATCTCGATTGTCACATAATCTAAAACTTTAACCATTTAAACTCAGTATTAAAACTAGTAGATCAGCTTCCGTTCAAGTCAAATGAAAGTAACAATATTGATTTTACAATTTTCAAATTCACATCTCAAAGATGGATTATTTTGCTTCATGCGTGATTTTACAAAACACTAAGTATTTATGTTGAATGCAAAGTTTTGCAACGATTTGCTGATTGACGTCTATTCATACAATTGTCATAGAAACGTGGAAAACTGAAACTAGGCACGGGGCTTATTTGCACTATAATTCACAGAGAAACTTAAGCGCAGTAGCAACAATTTCCAAACTATTGGCAGATACTGATCTAAGGCATCGTAAAATTGTAAATTTCGGCCCTGATGGAGATACGAATATGTGACTGTTAAGCGAAAGGGTTTAGCATTTTTATGTGTTTGCTTCAAATGCTGATCATTCGCGCTGATGCTGGTTCAGATGCTGGATACCCATGCGTCATCTTACAAGCATAGAAACGGTCCCGTACTTGTTTCCCCTATTGATGTCATTAGACTATTGTATTTTCATAAGATGTAGTAATAGTAAAACCATAGAACATTTAAGATTATTAGAGAAAAAAAAAAAAAAAATTAAAAATTTATTGTGATATGTATATAGTTTCCACATATGGTAAAGAAACTACTGTTTTTTATTAAAGAATATGATAGACATGAATATGACTTACCCATAAGCTGATATAGGATCATATGAATAATAGCCTGTAGTTGGTTGCAGACCAGCTGACGTCCAAGCCGACATTTCCGTACCGGTCGATGTATCCTTTAAAGCATAAGGATTGCTCTGCAAACATGAAGAGCACATCAGACAATACAAATTAAAAAGCCATAAATGATTAAGAAACTCATTATTAATTAATTAATTTATAACATTCTCATACGAACATATAAACACACGTTCTTTCTCAATACAACTAAACGCATAAAAAACCACATATATATATTTCATAAAAGGCTTAACATTTTCTGCCATAAAAAGACTTTTCCCACACACAAATGATCGTCTCTTTCTATCTCTCCATACACGCAACAATAAATACACTATTGGATTTGCTACCAAAACACGATAAGCGAATAAGAAATAATAAGAAAATAAAAACAAATGAACAGAAAAAGAATAACAATCGCCAACCCCAGCCCAATAAAAAATTACAAAAATGGAATAAAAGAAAAAAGAAGCTAGAAAAACACAAAAAAACTAGAATGATCAGTATGTTAAGCGAAGATGTACGAACACATATCTACAGCAGAGTACGTATATAGACTGCTTTCTTATATCTAGGAACAATATTTAGAGAATGGCATGCCTAACTGGTTGGCTGTTTAGATGCACAGATGGATTGATTAAAAAATTGTTCTTAGGACGCGACTGAATTACAATTAATATAGAAGATGAAACAAGTTTGTCCCACCTGCGGCCCCATTATATTAGAAACATGATCCCCTAACATGCTGACTAATGTATGATGGCTATCAAAAGTATGCGTACAAAAGCAATTCTGTTAGAGCATTCAATAAACTTTATTCAGCTGTGCAAATGATGCCAAGTTTATCCTCATCGATAAAAACTTTCCTTTCAACAGTAAACAAAATACATGTGCTATTACGGGAGAAAGAGCGAAGGAAAGAGGAAATTTATGGAAAATAAGAAAAAAAAGTCATGAAAAGAAAACTAGGAATGAGACAGCCGCAGAAATTCTTTTTACCAAAAAGTTTACGTAGAAAACGATTTATATATAATTATTTAAATGTATGGCTATTTAAATATATATGTAATAATATATTCAATGTGAATTTGATTTTTTTTTTATTCAGAAAATCTAAATGTCACCAACAATGATTTTACTTATTGTTGCATTAGAATTGAAGAAATCATACGTTGGACGAAGGTGAAGTCAAGTTAGAAGAAGAAGCTAATTCTATATCGTTTTTATCGCACTCGTTAAAAACATTCTAAGTAGACACAACTATTATAATTCCCCCGAAAATTAAACATAATTCCTGCATTAAATTTCTTTATATTCCTTCTCGAATACCTTTAATTAATTAAATGTAAAAAAATTTAACTGTAAACATTTACGTGACCAATCTGTTCAACTATCTCTTTTGATAAAATACCAGAGAAAATCTCAAGATGTGTAGTATGCTTTCATAAAAGCGATCTAATTGCTTTCTTTTAAATAAAGTGGTGTTGTTGCTTCTATTTTTTCGTCCACTCAAATCAATTATTAGGTGCACAAGCATGAAATTGTGAGCTTTTATTTTCGAAGAGAAACATACAAAACTCTGGATAATTATAAAACTTCTTTTCTTTCGAGCATGCTCTGTCCATAGTTACACATATTTTTCATCTTTATAAATACCACGCCAGTAGAAAACTTCCTCTTTTGCCGCGATCCATTCATCGAGCCATTTTTTCACAACTTCGTCGCGCCGTTCAGCAAGTGCATGATCCACTCATGCACATGAAAGGTGAGATCGGACAGAATTAAGTCTCGCGAATAGGTACGTATCGGCTAGTAATTCCCATTTGAACGTGGTGCAAAAAATGTCGTTATATTTGATAAAGCATTGCTACGTAACATAAAATTTTTTATTATCTTAATCGTTTTATTTTGTCGATTATGATTTAAAAGCTTTTTATGTTCTCGAAGCAGCATGTCACCATATTCATTCACTCATTAAGTACCATTATTCTTAAACTTCCTTTCGCTGGGTGAGAAAGGTTCTCTTTCTCACTGATTTGCTTGAATTGCCGAAGTGAAGATAGCCCACCAAGAAAACCACATTGTGCGCGGTCCGGGTCTTCGCTAAAAATGTCTTTGCTAAGTTGCAAACATGTAAAATAAGTTTTAAAATTAAATAATATTAGCAAGCATGCACACATAAACCAAACTAAGCCTCTAATTACGACCACAAAACCAAAAAAACCTAAATTATTGCTACTACATCTCATGCAAAAATGCAATACAAACACTGGAACAATGCAACGTCCGAATCGTGTTATGTCAATTTTCAGAGACATTACGCGACTATACATTTTTGATATGTCGTGAAAAATGCTGAAACCTATAAGAATATCATTACCATGTCCCTGGTCTATGACCGCCAAATTCGCCCCAAACCTGCTCTCTCCGTATACACAAGACACTAAATTAATTATAAAAAATGTTTAAAAATTTTTCCTAGAAGAGATTTCTGATATTTTTTAAACAACAATAAAACCTATCAGAAAAACCTAATTTCATTCAATTGATATATCGTTTGTAAACCATTTATGAGAGAGTTTTTCCTTTCACATCTCTAAAAACTTATTAAAATTTTCGCGGTAAAATCATGTTAAACATACATGTCGAATAAAGGCAAAACATTGTATATATAAAATCGAACATTTCATTAGCAACAAAAACAATGACATTATGTATATATGATCGAGTATTTCATTAGCAACATTTATGCAAGATATCGCATTTAGTGTCTTGTGTATATCGAGATGGCAGATTTGAGGCGAATTTCGAGGTGATGGGCCGGGGCCAGCGTAGTGAAATCAGGTTTTTGTTATAACTTTTAGCGTCCTTTAAGACATATCGAAAATGTCTATATGGCGAAATTCGTTAAAATTTTTAATAAATACTTCGCATATTGTAACTTTTCGCTATCAATATACATGCACTAGAAGATCAATAGTAACATTATCAATTGTAAATTTAATTTAAAATTTTTTATGACATTTCTGTATAATTTTTCAATTATTTTCCATATATATTTAGTTTTTCTCATCATTTTGTCATTTGTTTAATATCGTTCAATTATCAGTTAGCTTAGCAGAGGCGCGAGCAAAGTGTGAAGATAGCCCACATTTTAGCAAAGATAAAAATGTGGGTTACGTACAGTGGGCTAACTTCACGCCAGTCTTGAATTTGTTATAATTATTATTCATTTTTTGTCCAGAGAAGTAAACTTTAAGACTAAAGTCTTAAAGTACTAGCATCTAAGTCTACGGCCTTATTGAAAGGTCTACCGCACTAGAGATTTGAACCCATGACCATTGACTTGTTAGTCGAGACCCTTTGCCGATTCGGACACACAAGCGGATATACTTGAGTTTACATTCATATATAGACAAGTCAAAGCTTACAAATTGCTAGGCTATCGCCTAAAACGTCTACGTATTTGCTTTAATTTTATATTTCGACTCGATCAAAAATACTTTACTGAATATCATGGAAGTGACATGTTTTGCCATTTAATACTTTTGGAAAATTTGTGATAACATTTTTTTTTTTCTTTTTTTAATTTTTCATTCTTTTTAATTCATTGCCTGTTGTTGATATTGCTTTTTTTTTGCCCGCCATAGTAAATTTAATTTGTTAAATGGAAACGAAAAAATATTCATCAACAATCAGATAATCCGAATAATTCTGATTGGTTATAAATGACACAAAAAAATTACAACTGTAAGCTGTAAAGAAACTAACAAATACTCTTATGGTTGCGTGTATGTGTGGTATATACATGGTTTTTATTTATTCACTACTATTTTACTTAGAGCATATAGATACTTTTCGTTTGTTTTGGCTTTGAATGTATTTGTGTTATTTAGAGTTTATGGCCGTCATGATTGATACGCTGGTTATAGTGGCATCATGTAGCGGATTTGATATGACTTGGTTGTGTTTTGGTTGTTTTATGTTTTAGGGTCATTTCTTGATTTATTATTGAATATTAACATTTTTAATTATTTTAACAACATATTTAAACGTGTTGTAGTATTTACGTTTAATGTTGTTTTGTTGTTTGTTTCTTATTTCTGTGATGTTTTCCCAAAAAATCGAACACAAAAACAAGGAAGAAATCATCATAAATTAAAAAAGAAAAAAACAAAGAAATTTCAATAATTTCGTTCTCACGTTGATTTAAGCTTTCGCTTACTGCATTTATTTGTTTATTTTTTGGATTTTTAACAATAATTATAGGAAATCTTTTACCTAAACATATGTACATGTACGTATAATTTATTTGTCGTCAACTTTTAGCGGCTGTAATCACCGCAAAATAGTTTAATTAAACGCTCTGTCATATATAGATGTAGGCTTAAGAGAACACCTATCTACGAATGTAAACTACATCAATGGAATAAATTCAGTTAATTTGATTAGGTACGTCCACCTGTACGTCCACCTATCCATCTGTTCATTTTTTATTAAAAATCTCATCCTTACACGACATTTTAATTTTTTTTAAATCTTTTTTTTTTAATTACATACAAGATAAGAAAATTTTATAGCAAGGTAAAGGAAAAAAAGAAAATAATTTTACCCGTATTAGGAAAAAAATAACAATTTTCTTTTTATTTGCTGAATAAAAAGAAAATTCCTTAGCATAACGTAAACAAGAAAAAATATTAATTTCTAAATGGAAGGTCCAATATATTATGCCCTTTCAGTCCTCTTATCACACTGGTTTGATTTGAAAGTATTGCTAGAGGATTTAAATGACTAATCAGTCTGACGAGACAGGCCTGAGGAAAGGCCTTAGGAATTAGGTTTTTAACAAACGTAATATCCACTTTCGTTTGCAAGCGAACCTCAGGATCTTAACAATAAGACGAAGTGTCTCAGATTGTTTTTTTTTTTTCAAGTACTTCATTATCAAAGTTACATGGCTGTACTCCACATAACCAAAAAAGTTGGAGAGGAGTTAAGAGATACTCTTGTTCAAAACGCATTTATTTTTTTGGGTAAGTTAAGGTTGAAATTAAATTGAGAAAGTTTTTCTTTTTTAAGAGTATAAACACAGTTGAAGTTGAAGACTCCAGGACTGGATTTAATTAGAAACAAAAACTCACCGATTTAAAGGAATCTAACAACAGATTCATACTTAGCACGAAGTTTTCAGTACCCATCGGTAACTGTTATAAGATATTTCATAGCAATGTATCGTATAACAGGTATCGTACATATTGTGTCATATTTTTGGGTTTAAGTACGTATATATCACTTTGGATTAGCATTTTGTAGATAATCGTGACGACTACAATCATTTTGTCTAATTTATATATAGCCTTTTACGAGCTTTGGCCAAACTTTTAATGCGATTTAATTGATTCTTGACCTTAACACCGAAAAAAAAATAAAAAATAGATGTGACCTAATTCGAAATGTACAATTCTAAAGGTAAAAAAAAAAAAAAAAAAAAAAAAAATGGACATATTTATGTTCTGAGTTTCCGGATTTTCAATTTTTGATCTTGTAGAAATCAATTTTTTTTTTATGTAGACAGGCTGATCTATTTACGTTGATATACAAATATATATACTATATGCTCCTATTTATCATATAGTGCACGTATATTATTGGCGAAAAGTTACTATACACAAAGTATGTATAAAAAATAATAACGAATTTCACCACGGACAGCTTTTTGCTATGTGTGAAAGGACTTCATTTCATCATTCTGGCATCGGCCAATCACCACTAAATTCGCCACAAACCGGCTCTCTCCATAAACGCAAAATACTAAATGCCAAATGTTGCAATAATGTTGCTAATGAATGTTGTTAATGAAATGTGCGATCTTATATACATAATATTTTTCTTGTTAATGAAATGTTCGATTATAAAAACATAATAAAAACCAAAACATTGTTGAGGTTGTCCAAGAAATTTTTAATGCGTCTTAAAATCTATTAAACAATAGTGTCAATAGCAGAAAAATAAATAAGAGTCTTACGATTTTTTATGTGTATTGAAGTTTTAGGGGGCCATTTAAGGTTCATCTTAACTGTTATATTTCTCTTACTTTTCCTTTCATTTATTCTATTATAAATTTTGTTCAGTTTTGTAATTTTTTTGACTTTTTAAGTGATATTCGAACAAAGTTTTCGACGTTTCTGCTTCTCGTTAACAATTAGTTGCAATATTTTTGTTGACAAAAGTTTTTTTACGTTCCATTAAAACGTACAATGGGAAAAGTTACTCATTGTTGTTCCTGTTATTTATTTCCTAGTACAAGGTAAAGTTTCAATTAATTGTTATGCTTATTGCAAGCATTAAGCTAAATCTTCATCACAGAAATTTCTGAGCAGAGACAACAAAGTGAAATTAATAGCAATTACAGTAATAAGCCAAGTATATTCACCGAAAACTTTAATGCTATTAACCTCAATAATTATTTTTATACTTTCCAAAACAAAACAAAGAATAAACCAAAAACAAAAACAAATATTTTTAAACCGAATCCTTTAACTTTCGCCACAAGTAACATATATAGAATACTTTTTATCACAGTAATCCAAGGGACTACTCTGACTTGTTCATTAAAGGATAAAGGGACTAACGTAATTTTCATAAATTTTCGGAAAAAGCGAAGTGGGCGCCTATCCCATCTATGCAAACAAGCCATAATCGGAGGAGCTCGACTTTAGTGAATAAGCCGCATGGGGTAACATTTCCTCAAATTGACTATCTACCCATGATGGATGAAAAATTACTGAAGTGAAGTTAGCCCACAGTAGCTAGCCCACATTTCAGTAAAGACAAAAATGTGGGCTATCTTCGCTCTTGAGCAACCACATTTTTATGGTCCGGGTCTTCGCTAAAAATGTCTTTGCTGAGTTACAATTTATTGCGAAATGAATAACAATAAAGTAAAATAAATATTAAAATTAAGTAATATTAGTGAACGTGCACATATACAACATACCAAGTCGCTAATTAGGAACGCAAAACCAAAAATTTTTAGTTATTGCTAGTAAATCTCATGCAAAAGTGCGTTACAAATACTGAAAGACTGCAATGTTAAAATCGTGTTATAACTATTTCTAGACTACAGATTTTTGATATGTCTTAAAGGACGCTAAAACCTATCAGAAAAACCCAACTTCATTACCCTGTATAGGGGACATGACCTCGAAATTCGCCAAAAACCGGCTGTCTCCATATACCCAAAACACTAAATTAGTTATTTGTGAGTTAAAATGTGAGTTATCTTGGGGGGCTAACTTCACTTCAGTGAAGAATTAAGTTTGTGTTGCTTTTTTTGATATTTCGTCTGCTTTTTAAACAGCGAACGGTTCAAATTAATTAATTGCTATGGGTAGTGCATGGTATTAATCGTTTTACTAGGCTTTAAGAATTAATAACTCTTTTCTAGTCTCACTAAACACAGAATATCGCCTTCCTGTCAAAGCAATACAGTCTCCCAGTGGATGTAGACGGTACGCCCAGATACACCCTTGCATTTTTGCGTCCGGGGGTTTCCTGTAAAAAATGTAATCTGAAAAACTGAATTGCCGACAAAGCTTTCCCCAATAATAGCAACAATCTGTGTAATTTCCCGAGAGGTAGTTTTTCGCGAAGAAATTTCGCATTTCCGTCGGCGGTTAGCTAACAGACAACTCCTTATAGAGCTTTCTGGTATAGATTTTTAGAAGCAAGAACGCAACGAATCATGGTGTAACCAAAGTATTTACTGAATAGAGATTCTCTAACAAATGATTACAATTTCCTTGCTCTTCTTATCATACAATTTATAAAACTAATACTATCTCTGATGAATTTACAAACAAATTAGCAACAAAAAAAACCACATATGTGTGTAATCAAAAAAACAAAACAAAGAGAGTAATTTTTAAAATTTTTCTTTCACAGGATTTCTCTCGCTATGAGTACATAGGCAGTGCATTGTATGCATATCGCAAATGCTTATAAATGTGTGTCTGTGTACCTGTATGTCTGTATGTATCTATAAACAAAAAATTACATTTATTTAACCAACAAGCATTTCAGTTTTTGCCTCTCTGTTACTGTTGCTGCCGGTTGCCATTTAAACGGTTTCAGTTTTGAGAGTATTTAAACCAGGCCAACCATTCTATTTGTTATGGTTGAAATTAAAAGCGTACATATATACATACCTAACTAGTTGGCTATACACATATGAACGTACACATGTATGTAAATAAAAATAAAAATATCAGATTACCTTGATGGCGCAATAAAAGAAACGGTTAACCAGCTCTTTCTTTTTTCTTTTTTATTTTACATACAGAAGAGACAACACATCAACAACACAATGACATGTACGCTGATATATTAAAAGCATTAAGCTAAACTTGACAATATTTGTTATGTGTATGTACGTATGTTTTTTATGAACAAAATGTGAGCTGCACACAAAATCAGCCATAATAATAATTCGATTTTTCTCTCTCTCTTCCAATATTGTTATTGACATGCAAAGTAAGCTAAAGCAAAATAGAATGAGATCCAAAAAAAGGACTATACTTATATATACTAAAGTGTGTATGTGAGTATATATATATATATATATGTACGCATGTATATAAATAAATATATATTAAAATTACTCGAGTTTCAAAGCGCAAAAATATAAAAGAAGAAAAACCGAAACGACGGTTTGATGAGACAGGCCAATATGTTTTCTTAATGCTGCATTTCATAGCATATATATGTGTTTGTGTATATATGTACGTATGAATATATATATATATATATATATATATATAATTATATTGAGTTTATTTTGTTGACATGTATGCATGTGTGTGTTCCGTTTTAATACATTTTGTGATGTTTTACAAATGAAATCCATATTAACAAAGCTTATTTCTTTAATAACCCTTTGTTTCTCTCGCTGCCTTTGCTGCTAAGAAGTGGAATAATCAAAGCGGGTGGAAGAAGGAGGCTTCACTGCATGTTGTGGCATTTTATTGTCACATTTTTGTTGCTTTGCACTGCACTTAAAGCAAACACACGAGCAAACAAGTTTGCATGTTGTCGGCCATTACTTTTAGTTCCTATAAAGTGGCTGGTGTATATCGGTAACGTTGCTGGTGGTAATAATAATGGTAATGGTAAGACGATAATGGCGTCGGTGACGGGGACGATGACGGGGACTGTGACGGTGATAGTAGCGGTAATGGTGACGGCAACGGTAATGGTGGCGGTAATGAACGACTTCTCTTCTTGAGTACAAAGTAAATACAAAACATACAAAGTGCATATTTGAAACAACCAAACTATAGACAATCGTTCACTATGTGTTTAACTCAGGTAAGTATGTAAATGGGGATTCATTTGATTATAATACTGTAAAGCAGCTAGCATTGCCCAACCAGCTAACTAACTAACTAACTAACTACTTTTAGCTGGTGGTCTTTTAATGGTCGAAATGGAAGCCTTGTTTTTCTCTTAGCAACAATGGCAACAATTGCAATAACAACGACAGGAGTCCTAACGACCATAAGGGTATCATTTAATTTAAGCATTTATGTACATTTTACATTAATTCATTTATAAATATGTGCGTGCATGTGTGCGTGTGTGTCCATGTATATGATGTTCTGTTCACTTCAAAGGACACAATTTTCAAGAACTTTGAAAAGAAAACAAAATCAAAAAAGAGAGAAAGCTTTTAGAAACTTACCAAAGATGAATAAAATGCCGAACTGTCTACTCCTATACTCTGATAGGGGTTTTGATCTGTAGAAGGATAGGGTGTACCGTAGACACCCACACTGGCCGCTGGTAAACGCGAATAACTTGACAAAGCCAGACGAGCCGAGTCGTATTGACAAGAACAAACCGTTTGCCCAGATACCGGATCTGTCATTATTGGTCGCCCGTTTTCGCAACACGAGCTTCCCGCATTAGAATTATTATTTCCAGAAGTAGCAGCAACGTCCATATTTGAATTGCCGCTGGCAGTCATTGCCGAATTTCCCGTTCCACGATTATTCGAACTTTGAGATAAACCTTCAGGGCTTAAAGCACCCGCAGAAACATCTCCGGTACCGGCAACATTAGTACTACCACTACCTGCACCATTACCACCACTGTTGCCCGTCACTGCAGCCGAATTTGAACGGCAGTCACCGCTAGGACTGCTTGCAGGAGCATTAGCTGTGGCAATAGTTGATTGTACAGTCGGTGTATCTCCCGATTGCGGCGATTGACCAGCATTCGAAGAAAGCAACTAAAATCATAAATAAAATGAGATTAACGATGTTATTAGAAATAAATTCGCCGAAGAATAACAGTCATCTTCTTTCTTGTCATTTTGCATTCACGTTAGCCATTTAAACCTAACTTGTAACCTAAAATAAAATGAATGTATATTCAAAATAAATCAAAAGATTACAAAACGGTACGTTTTCATTTTCTATAATTAATAATTTTTTTCTTTGTACGTATAATAACTGTACCTCTTTATAAATTAATTTAATTTGCAACCATTAACCAAAACAAATTAATATACGTTTTTACGCCCCTCTGTACGCGTTTGCACGTCGATGTGCTTATATTAAAATAAATTTTTCTTTTTGTTTTCATTGAGTTTTATTGCACATAAAATAATTTTTTTGATTAGTGGAATCGTTAGCTATTAAAACCAAGAAATACCAAGAATAATATTAATTTACTAATTATACTAATCAAAACGAAAAAAAAACGCACACACATGCATACATATACATTTATGTTATTAATGGCTTCATATTTTTCTTTTTCTTTATGTGGATTTGTCGTACATATATACATTTATTACATATTACATATATACAGCTATTAATAACATTATAAATAGTTAAACAAACGCGTGCAAATTTTTAGAAACTAGGTGTTAATACCAGCCTACCTATCAACATTTGCCGGAAAGCGATGGCTGTGTTAAGGAGAATTTCAAATACCCGGCGTATTTTTTGACTACAGTTCATGTATGAAGTTTTTTTTTTTCTTTTTTAAAGCAAAAATGCAACCTATCAACCCCTCAAGGGAGAATGTTGACAAAAAATCATTTTATATCTACTATTGGAGCATGTTTTCTCTCATTCGTGAATCCCCAATGCATTCATCAGACAAGGCAAGAACTGCAAACAATGTACATATGACGTCATACTCTTGATGAGTTTTGCGAATAGCAAAATTGATACTGGCTTTTGTCCTGAGACATGGATTCATGTTATCTTATATATTGGACAATTTTTGATAGCTTTAGTCAGTAAAAGGTCGTTTTTGTACGATCGGGTAACCGTGCAGCACGGTTCACATGAAAACTAAATATTGAATTCGATTTCGAACAGATTTCAGTGAAATATTTATAAACCTTGCAAAGTTGTGTATTTTTTTTAAGGGTTTACATACCTCTTTTTGTTAATGACCGAATACGGTATTTACAAATGGCCTTAACGGCCTACTCATACAATGTGCCACAAAGGATATATCACCACTTTCATCCGTTTACGTCGTAAGCCTAGAAGGTTTTTGTTGTGGGCTGCACCACACTCATTAATTACAAATTTCTCCTTTCGACATGGCGTCAAACCTTCAAAAATTTGAACATTTCGTGGGGATCATAGGTTATTTTAGGGAAATTGTACCTGTCTCTCCAAGCTTGAGTTATATATTTTAATAGGAACTTTATCTGTAAAGCCCTAAATATTGCAAGGACAATAAAAAGAGAATAAAAGGGTTTCGACTCTTTTCTGGTCATTGTAAAGGTTTATCGTGAAAATGTTTGTGAATTATTACAAAACCACCAATAATTGCTTCCATGGTGCTTGTGTTTAATGTATATGATGAAATCAATCGATGTTAGTTATAAAACAAAAAAGTTTCTCTCGCCTTACGACGAATTTCGGACACCTTACATGCCAACAAAAATCTTTTACTGCAACTGCTTCCATAATCTCATCGAAGCTATTTGTACGAGACATTTAAGAGGACTATGATAAATATTAAAAAAAAAAAAAAAACATTTGTAGTAACTCGATCTCAAGATATTAATAATATTATATTGAATACTTGGGTTTTTAACTAAAAGTGATCTGCGCGTAATTAAGCCTAACCAATTTTCTTTGAATAATATATTCTTATACAAACTTTGTGTCTTTGAAAGTTTCAAAAAAATAAGCAGATATAAGGCAAAAAAGGGAAGGGAATGAAAAATGATTGAATGAAACTAATAATACAGATGAAATGATTTCGAATAAATGTAAGTGTATTAATGAGAACTCTCGGGAATATACTTATTTATTATTTAAAGCATGATAAAGTTCTTTGGTATAATTCAATCTTCCTCCGGCGAGAGCTAATAAAATAAATCTTTCTGCTCATATCTATTCTTTCAATACAAGCTTGATATATTCCGTTTTCAACAATTCGTTTCATCAAGTCTTCTATACCAGAAAATACTAAACGACCAGGTCTATTGATTGACAAAATAAATTGCGAACATTATGTCCAATGTCACTACGACGAACAGATGTTAATATTGCGCGAATATTCAGCAATAAGAACAACTCGTTAATTGTTCAAAAAAAGAGCTATCCGATTTGTACAAAGTTTAAATCGCCAGACTTCAAAAACTGTTTAGAACACCACAGAACATGTCACAGATGGCGACACGATTTTTTTTTTTTTTTTAATATGACCAAACACTCCCCTGAGTGATGTCTCCTATACGTGTAACACGATAATGAACGGAAAGGAGTGAGGAGAGAGAAATATGTGGGGGGTAGGAATTGTGGTGGCCTAGTGTGTGCCAAATCGGCAAGTGTCATGCGCCTTTACCAACTGAGCAGTCGCTATATTACAGCGCAGTCTCGACTAAGCATATTCTCCAATTCCATTGAGAATTGAGCCAGCGACTGTTATCTACTTAGCTATGTAGGAGTAGTAGAGGTTGTTGCAGTAGTAATATTAATGGTGGTAGTAATGGTCGGCTTCAGGGCTCTTTCTTTTCAAACGAAATTGCATCGTTGGGTTCAGATGATCATTTAACAGTTAGTTCTCACCGCGGTACAACAAGCTGTTTATTACAGACAGAGTTTTCAGAACATTTTTAATAGTTTTTTTCTCTGGCCTAGACTTTGTAATGTTAGAAGCTATAAAATAAGGAGAACGATATCACTTGATATTTCATTGAATTTTTTTACACAAAAACGGAATTTATTAAATCAATTAATTAAAACTAATCGTAGATTTTTCCAAATTTCTATTACTACTTCATCGTAGAAAAATGCATTCAATTGGATTTGAAATAAGGATGAAGGAGAAAATCAATACAAAAGTAAGGAAGTAAAAACATTACAGTAGATCTCGAGCAACCACTAAATAGCCTATACTACTTCGCTTAATACAGTTATGCATATAACGATCTTTATACCCATCACCGATGGATGAGTTTTTTGTTCATTACTCAGAAACTACAGAAGATAAATCTATAAAAATTTGAATATATATTCTATGGGCGGATGCTGTAGCGTATGTGCACAAAAATGGAAAAAATTTACCACGGCTTCCTAATATTAGGAAGTGTATCAAAATTTAGTTATTTTTTAAATACTTTTATAACACGCACAAACAAGCTTCAAAAACCCCATAAAGTATACAAATTCTTAGCCAGTTTCAAATTTCGAATACACCTAAATATGTCCCCTGTTCGTCTGTCCACCTATCTGTTTGCGCAACTTTGTAGTATTTGAAAATGAAGATATTGCCTACAAATTGCCTACAAGAATTTGGAATTGACCTAAACTTCTCAACAGAAAAGCCTAAAATGCCCACATGTCTCTACCCCAAAGAGTTTAAGTTTAAAAGAAATTAAGTGGACCCACTCCATATTATAGAGCAGGAGAATTTTGTTCTTTTACTTCTTTTGTATTCTTTTTTGGGGTAAACGGTAATGGGTACAAAAGATTCGGTCCCGACCGAATTAAATTTTTTCACGTGTTTATATTGTGGTTTTATACGGGAAGTTGTCGATAAATCATTTCCAACAGAACTTGTCTTTTGGCCGATGCACGTCAGCGTACCAAATCTCTTCAAAATATCTCAAAAATTACTACCTGTAAGTTGAACGCGAGAGGAGAGACATCAAACAAACAGACAAACAAGCTTAAATAAATTCAGAACGACTTTGAACCAGTCAGTATAGCAAAACTTAGATTTATCTCAAATCCTTGTGGATGTTGTATACATACGCAAAAACTTAATATGCTCTTATACGACTCGTGGAGCAAGGTATAAAAAGACTTTTTCGTAAATCTTTAGAACAAAAAAATAATCTATATATAAATATATATATAATTCCATAGAAAATAATCTATAAAAGAAAAAATAGTGGATTTAACGAAAACAACACCGCGATCATTAGCCTTTCGTCAGCAAAACAGTTGACTCTCTTGAAAAACACTAATTATAGTAATAATGTTAATTTCAGTAATTATCATAATTTTATCAAAGGGAAAAGAAAGAAGAAAAATGTCTTGAAGAAAAAAAGAACTAAAAAGAAAAAAATAAAGGAATGAAACATAGTCTAGCACAACTTTAGGCATAGACCAGAAATAATAATTGAGTTCCCGTAATTGACAGCAAAGAAAAGAAATGAGACATGGAGCAACGTAGAAAAAAAAAGAGAGATAGAGTGAGACACAGAAAAAGAGGCAAGAGGGATATAGACACTAAAAAATAGTATGAGAGAAAGAGAGGGATGGAAAGATAGAAAGAATTTGGAATGATTATAAATTCTTGTCCTTTTTTCCCACTTGGTTCTGTAGAGTTCACCAAAACAATAACTAAACGAATAAGCTAAGATCGAACATCACCCGTCCACCAGCGGAGGAGCATGAAAAAACATATCACATAAGCACATACATTATTAAAGGCTTTAGGCGATTTCGCTGCGTATTTTAGGCTTTTTTGTTTTTTTCTTTTGCATAATGTATGACCAACTCTCACTCCCAGTTTATAGATACGATTTTGTTGGCGCTTTTCTGCTAAAAATCGACAGCTTTTGATCAATTCCAAGTTTTCTTTACTCGTTTTTTTTGTTTATACGTATAGTTTTTCTTTTTTTTTTAATGAACGAATAAATGAAAGAAATTATCTTAATTACAGGTTTTGCTAGCAGAGCGAATCATAATAATTTTTTCTTTTTAATTTTGTTTCTTATCGTTTTTTTTTTTAGAAATATTT